TTCTTGAAGGCCTGGGCACTCCATTGGCACGTTAATGGAGAAACGATCAAACATCCGCGTCTGCAAAATGTGCGATGCAGACCACCAAAAAGAGGAAAACAAAAAAGAAAAAGCCGATGCCAAGCCACTCGTAGAAATCGATTAATGAAGAATAGAACAACAGTGAGGGGGGTTTAGGAGGATGTGAGCTGAAGGGAAAGGGGGAGACGCAAGAAAGACCGAGTGGCAGACAAGAAAATACAATTGGTCGTTGGTTCGCAGGCGATCAGGACATAACAGTGACTACGTATTGATATGGCCATTACAACGCGCAACGGAGGTGCCGAGGGGGGAAGAGGGGGGGCTCGTCAAAAAGACAACTTGTATGGGTAGACGCATGTGTACGAGAAACGAGAAGAAAAAGAGAGAGGGAGAGAGAGCGCTAAATGAAGGAGTGAAGTTGATTGCTCTTCAGCGAAAGCTTGCCTGGATCGTTTTATACCTCCTCATCATCACCATCATCATCATCATCATCACCATCATCATCATCATTATAATTACTTCCCTGCTGGTAGATACACACTAATTACACCATCTATTGATGGGATTAAAATAGTGAATGAGGGAGACAAGTACCATGTCATCAGTAAAAAGGGAATTCGCACAAAAGAGACGGCAAAGAAGAAAAGCAAGGGGAGGACACGCCATCTTCGACGACATCTGACAGACGGAGAGACGTTGCTGTAAATCAAAAGAGCGAGGAGGATCCAGAGAGCGAGAAGAACAGAAAGAGGAAGAAGTACAGGAGAGGGAGAAGAACAAGGAGAGGGAGAAGGCAAGGAGAATAGAAAAGCTGCAGAAGAGGGAAGCGAGGACAACAGAAGAAAAGAACGACAACCGAAGAGAACAAGAGGAAAGGAGGAAAAAGGCAACGCAGAAGAGCAAGTGCGATAGAAAAGAGAGATGAGAGAAGGACATACCGGAGACGGAGGACAAACGGAGCATAACAGAACGGAACGGAACGGAGAAAAAAAAAAGTACACTAGTAGAGGCGGGGGAAACGGCAGCGAGAGTACTTAAGACAACCGCGCGCGCGCACGAACGCACCTCCAGCAAGACATCGGCGATGGCCATGCAAAGGCAACTCATTGTCATGAAGATGGCGAGACCCAGCATGCAGTCAGACACACCGAAATGCTCCGGCAATTGCTCTTGATAGCCCGATGACAGGCTCCCGCTCCTTCGGTTTTTTCCTCTACCTTTGGCAAATCCTGAGCCTCTGCCGCGTACCCCGAGAGCCCCCGCCCCTCCCACACTCCCAACCACCATCACACCCTTCTCTCCTCTCTCCACATCCATCAACACGGGCGCCTTCTCAACGATTCCATTGATAGGCGACCCGGGCGTGTGCCTGTACGACAAGTCGGAATTGAAACTGGAAGCCGATGTCTGCCTTTTCAAATTCTTAAACCCACCTTTGGATTTCTGTATCCTGCCGTCCATTACCGAGTGCTTAATGACAGGGAAGCACTTGGACAAGGCCGCCAACGAAGCCCTGTCCCTCGGCGATACCGGGCCGGAAGACTCCGGGTGTTCTCCACGAAGCTTGGCTTTCATATCCTCCTCCATATCCGCGTCCTCTCCCACTCCCCCACCGCCTGATCCGCCATGCCCGACCGGTCGCTTGTCGAAGACCAGTGGCACTTCTCCTAACCCTGTGAATGGGAACATCTCTCCCACACTGAAACTGGTGCTGTAACCATCTTCCGGGAACCTCATTGCATCCCAGGCGTCATCCCTGGTTATCGAGATTTCGAAGAGGTCGTCGCTGCTCTCCGACATCGTCCGGGAGAAGTAGGGGGTGACGGGAGACTCGTTGCCGGCTATGGCAGCGAGTTTGCTGGCGGTGAGCGCTGCTCTCATAGCGTCAACAGCAGCGGCGCTCTCCGCCGCATCTAGGTTCGTCAGTCGGAGCTGCTGCTGCTGCTTGCGAGGCTCGCTCGAACCTCCCCCTCCTCCGCCTCCGCCCGGAGTCGTTCCTCCTGTCCCCGTCGTCGAAGCCGGCGACGACGTCGCCGATCCCGCCGCCATCGGGGGCCCCATCGGCGGCCGAGGGGGCTTGCCCATGCTCGCCGTCCTCTCCATCGTCATGGCAGGACGACCAGGAGCAGTAGGAGGAGGACTACGTCGCTCTGGCTCCTATTGACTAATCTTCTTCTTACCTCACCCGATTTCTACCACCCCCCTTTCTTCTTTTGACCCACCCCCCCTTTCTTTTAACCCGACTCCTGGAAATTGCCCGGATGCACCCCCCATCGCCAAACATACCGCGAAGAATCGCGATGCTGGAGGAGAAAGACCTGACAGAGGAGGACAAGGAGAAGCTGCACAATCGAACGACACCTACTAGGTGACGATGGGCGGTCGCAAGCGGACGCCAGCCGTTGATTCTTACATCTGTGCTGAAACGCCATCGTCCCCATCCCCGCTTCGATCAATGGTTATGACAGCAAGGAGGAGGAGGAGGAGGAGGAGGGGGCCCAAACACGCAACCCGTGCCGAACCCGTGCCACTACCGGTAGGCATGACAATGTCCCAATCCGGCTGCCCCCGTTGTCGTTGTTGATGATCAGGATGATGGTGATGGATATATATGATACCGTTACAATGATGGCTGAATAGGGACCATGTATGTGGACAGGATCGTAGCGATGGATGGTGCCTTCCGAAGCATTCGTGCTCCAGTTGCCGATTGCCGATCAGTGCGAAACACACATGGCGAGGCTCCAGAGGTTTACGTCACTTTTCTCTGCCAGAACAACGTCGAATTGACTCACAAATCAATCACGAGACCGCAGCAGCCCTCTCCACTCCTCCCAGCAGCTGTAGATCATCAACCGCTCCACGTTGTCAATCACCAGACCAATCAATCACGAGACCAACCAGATTTTAACCAATCAAACAACCCGATCAGAAGCGAGAAGAAGATCAGAGGGAAAGCTACCCGAGCGCCTGCGTGGGTCCCTCGTTCAATAGGGGATGATCCCGCACCCGGGTGCTTCCGCACATCCCGCCTCTCTTCCCGCTTGTCCTTGCTTGTCCTTGCTTCTATTGTCCCACCTTCCCCGCCCAAAATTTTGCAGTCCCAACTCCTAATTTCGCCCGTTCCGGGGCAAGGTCCCACTTGCGCAAACTAGGAGATGTAGGCCGTTGATCTTTGCTATCTACGGTCAGTATCTCTTAATTCGTGCAAGTGGGACCTAGCCCCCGGAACCCCGCCATGAACCTCTGAACTGCTCCCGCCCAAACCTACTCTCCAGTTCCCGTCCCTCCGACACCGAGGGCCTCTCTCCACCACTCTCCACATGAACAAAAGACAAAAGACAAGAAATAAGGCAGCGCATCTTTCCATGTTCTAGCGGAAGATTCATTCTAGTGCGAGCAACACCAAAGGCCCCGAGGCTGCGGTACAAACACCCGCCAAAACCAGCACATTCCACGAAAGGCCAGTGTCCGTGGTTCGGAGGAAAGTAACCACGGTCATGGGCTAGATGCCGTACGCTGATGAAATCGTACGGCTCAGGGAAAAAACAAATCGGTCCTGATCGATGGACGCGCCAAGAAGAACGTGAGGTGAAAACGAGTCTGACATATTTCGACCAATGGCCCGCACGACCACTCGTTCGGGAGGATTCGATCTCACGACCTCAGCGTGGTTGGATGCATTCCCCACCCAGCCTATGTTTTCGGGTTCATGTGTCATGAGCCCAACGGCCCCGGGGCCTTTGTTTGCCTTTCGATCTCACGACCTCAGCGTGGGTGGATGCATTCCCCACCCAGCCTATGTTTTCGTGTTCATGTGTCATGAGCCCAACGGCCCCGGGGCCTTTGTTTGCCTTCCCCAAAAACCCCGCCACTTTTGGGCGCACCAAAAAGGCGGCACTCGCCATCCGCGGACGTTTTAATAATGCATCTGGTCACTTATTTATCCAGATGCATTCAAAATTGGCGGACTGCGAGGGGCGCAACCTGGCCAAATGGAGGAGGCCGTCGAAACCGTGGGAGCCCGCCGTTTGGCAAAACCGAAGAAAAGACAAGAACCGCGGGAAGCACGGAATCGTGAGTGGATTTCGGTCTGAATCGGCCACTCTGGAATGGGGGGGCCAACAGCTTTTCCCCAACATAGGGCCTCGCCACACCACTCTCAAAATGTGCAAAATGAGAATGAACTTCCCCCTAGAAAATGGCCAGATGCCTCCCGTCGAATACCGGGGCCTCTGTCGGGATACCCAGAGGGAGGAGGGCATGAGAATGAGGACAGAGCGGAGGGCCGTTGTGGTCTGCGGTTTCTATTTTGTGTCAAGGTTTTTGCTTTCGTTTTTTCTTTTTTTTCTTTTTTTTTGGGAAAACTTTTTGCTTTCGAGATGTCGCAGGTTGCGACAGTTGTAGGGGTTTCGTTCAAGCCTTTCTTTTCTGTTGAAGGCTTGCTTACTTTTCTGAGAGCCCCCTTTTTTATTTTTGACTTTTTTTGGCATGACGCCTTTTGGACCCTTGATTTCGAATATGAGCGGCCAGAGATGCTTATACCAACAGTACATCTGGGGTCCGGTCCCACTAGCAACTGAAATTAGTTTGTGCGGCAATGGAACAATAGACATCTGGCGTGAACCCAGGTCAGCAGTTCACACAGCCTAAGTTGACTGAGCTACCTTCCAAGGCTCACCAACCTAAGTGTTCCTTTTTCATACGGGCCCAGGCCCAATCACGGCCTCACCGCATAAGCGCCACACAACATCTTTCAACCATGAGCCCAAAAAAGTTCAAGAGCTGTCAGAATTATTTTTCAAACTACCAGTGCCTTTCCCAGGTATTTTCTCGAAGTCGCATCACATATACTACGGCAACTCTCGGCAAGTACCAGAGTGTCGTTTGACTGGGTATCCATCCAGGCGAAATAGGTCGCATGTGCGACCCGTTTTGCCTGGATGGATATCCAATGAAATGCCACCCTAGTACTTCCCAAAAGTTGTCGCCGTAAACAAGCTGCATGTTTGTGTTTCACGCGGAGAGGTACTTGTGGTTCACGAAGACCTTTTGAAATGCTTCGGTTCCCCAGTGTGCAACCCTCCAGTTTTCAAGCGTCCTTCCTTAACCCCTTGAACGACCCGTGATTTTCAAGAGGTGTCAGCTCACATGTCTCAACCATGTATTCGTCATATTTGCAGCTGGTTGGATCAAGTAGCTCGTTCCCATGCAAAAGTTCATCTTCCAAAAGTCTGTGGCGAAGGAGTGAAAACTTTTTAAAACCAACCTCTTGAAAAAGTATGGCAGATCTTGAAATATTTAATGGTTTCAAGAGCAGTATGGTGAGGTCCTAAATCGCTAAGAGTCCACCTTAGCTTATGGCGAACTGATCTTCTTTAAACCGTCACTCTACACAACCTGATTTGACAAAGCTTTTTTTTTCCCCCCACAAAACTTACCTAGCCCCTTTTATTATAGGGGGCATTGTTCTGTTACTGATCACCGGTAAGCATGCAAACTACAAAAAGATAGAAAGAAAGATAGCATACATTATTTCAAGGTTTGTGGACTTCAAGCAAAGCCTTTTCATATTACTCTACCCCATTCACTACCAGCCCAGACGCAAAGAGTCATAGCCTTACCGCTACCAGTGCATCAGCGCTCGTTTAAACCACCAGTCCCCCCGCCGGCCGAAAATAAGCATTCCGTTGAGTTAGAATCGCATTTGACCGACAGGCAACCAACGGGTCCAGTCACCCACTTTTCGAACACCGACTTTGGCGATTTTTTACGCCCTGAATAATCCATAGAAAAATCTGAAATTTTGGGCTCCGGTAGATTAGGTCGTGATTTTTCCAATAAAAATATATTAAAATAAATAACAATTTTTTTTAAATAATGAAATTGTCGCCGCACTGAATCAACTCATCTTTCATTTTTGTCACTCTGCCAGCTATCGGCCAACGGAAAAGTACCTCAACTTCAGTGATTTTTCGTGCTCGGACCATTTTGAAAACAAATCTGAAAATTAGTGTCCCAATAGATTACGTCGTGATATTTTTAGGAAAAATATCAAAAGAATTAAAACAAAGTTTCGATAGTGAAATAACTGTCGCACCGATTTGGCGCATTTTCCATTTTTGCCACTGAGCTGGTTTTCCATACGGTCCTACTCGTAGCCCTCATTAGTGTGTGCTACCAGTCCCTCCAATTTTTCAACGTCGAGAGGACTGGTGGTTAAGGGGTCGTGTGGCCACGTCATGCAGGAGTAAAAGAAACAATGTATCTTCATTGAAGAAACACAAAGAAGTGATGTTGCTTTGCCTAAGTGTGCCATCTATACCTTTTATGTGTCCCTATGACAAAATAAGGCCCCACAACGTACGACATACCTTTATCAAAGGAATTGACTGCTTCCGTGACTGAACGGCTAGTTACTAACTGCTCATTTATCCCGACCATATAACCGGGTAGTTTTCATCCGTCTTTACCCCTCTATTTCATAGTTGTCCTATCTATATAGTCCGGGCCTATAACAACTATCTACCACTAATATTTTTAACATGAACACATTCGTACGTCAAATATGTTCGTCCATTTGTTACAACCACTATATTAGGACATTTAGCACACACAGGTTGGTGTCTCAGTGCCTCCTCCGAGGCCCATGACTTATTATTTAAGTATAATTTTAACAGCATAATCGCACCATGTACAATCTGCACAAAACCAAACAAAAACTTTTAAAATAATATTTGCTTTAATACCCTGTAAACCGATAAGAGTCTGATTTAGCTTCGGACGTATAGTGTTGTAAGTAGCATTACTTGAGAACCGAACATCTCTTTAAGCCACTGCTCCCCCTTATAGTAAAAAAATGGTTATCCGGGATTTCCAAAGTCGGTAGGCCTAAAAAAAGTGAAGGTCGACAACAATTAAAAACACAAAAGTGAAAATTTTACAGATTTTTCACGAAAAAAACTTGCAAAAAAATATTTAAGATTTTGTTAGTCTATATATCTAGTCATTTTCGTAAAAAATATAAAAAAAAAGGGGATAAAACATATGTGAAATAAATTGCCATACCAATTCAACGCATTTTTTATTTTTCCACTGTCATGTGTGGGCCAATATAATTTTCGTTAGGGAAAGGGTAGTCAAACTTCAATGATTTTTTGCACCAGTTAGGATGCCTTAAAAATTTTAAAATTTTGAGGACTCGTAGATTTGATTATATATAATTAAAAAAAATAAAAAGATAATCATTTCGATCGTGAAATATGTCGTGGTAGCAATTTGATATACTATGTTGGTTTCCCATACTATACTATTGGTTGCCCTCATGAGTCTATGCTACCAGTCCGCCAAATTTTATAGTGGCAGACGAAGTGGCGAATTAACACTAGTGATGTCTATATAAAAATAAATTTTCACTAACAACTGTTGTATATCTTGAAGTATGTTCAATCCCAATAAGACAAAGGGTTGCGCATACTTTCACGCGATATAGTGTTTAAGGACTGAAAAAACTATGTCGCAATAGACCTATAGGTCCACCCCGTCCTTCATTTATGTAGTAGTTAACAACTTAAATTGTTTTCATTGTTGAAATCGGATTTTTCTTGCAAATTTTTATTTTTTTTCTAATTTTTATTTTATGACTGTTGGAATTATGTTTGGTCCTAGGCTACCAGTCGAGCCGCCCGGGTCACCCTACTTTCCCTGACGGCCCGGCCGTGCACCATGGAAGGCTATAGCAAAAAATAACAAAAAATTAAAAAATCAAAAAAATCCGAAAAAAAACTACGTTATGCAGAAACGTAACCTGACAAACTTTTGCCTTAGGGTCACATCGAAATTCTTTACCAATTTTAAAACAAAAATAAAGTTAAAATTTTGTTTTTATTTTTTTATTTTTTTATTATTTTTTGGCCCGGCCGGGCAAGTGGCCCCGGGCCACGCGGGTGGCCTAGTTTGGTTACATTTTCTAATGTTCTGAAGAATTTTATTAATTGGAAATGTTTGTGGTGACCATTTAAAAAAAAAAAAAAAAAACTAGAATGTAAATTTTAATTCAAATATACTTTTGCCTCATAGTTTCATCAATGTTTTTTTTTTTTTC